GTTCACATTTGAACTCAACTTTGCTTTGTTTTGCACTTATGTTTGAAGTTTGCTCTATACAGGTTGCGTGCGGCAGGCCTTCTACCACTTTGTAGGCTTGTTGAGGCGGCGGCGGACGACCGTGACCCAGCGAAGCGGTGGGATGCAGACCGGTCACTCCTTGCCGCTCTTGTAGACCGCTGGAGACCTGAGACGCACACGTTCCACCTTCCCTGTGGGGAGATGGCTCCGACACTGCAGGACGTGTCGTACCTGCTCGGGCTACCGCTGGCGGGAGCACCAGTTGGTCCCGTCGACGGTGTTTTTGGGTGGAAGGAGGATATCACTGCGCGCTTCGAGCAGGTGATGCGCCTTCCACACCTAGGACCGACCACCACCCTTCCTCCGTACTCTACAGTCGGGCCTAGCAAGGCTTGGTTGCTCCAGTTCACTGTAAGTAAATAAGTTGTTATTATCATACATGCTTATTTGCGACCGGCTGAGTGTTTTGTACTAACATTTCATTCTTAACTGTAGGCGGACCTTCTGCACCCTGACGCTGATGATTACTCGGTCCGACGCTCCCTTGAGGCGTACCTGTTGTGGTTGTTCGGGTGGGTGATGTTCACTAGCACCCACGGGCACGCTGTGGACTTCCGGCTGGTCCACTACGCACGGTCCATCGCGGATGCTCAGCCACAGGACGTGCCGCAGTGGAGCTGGGGTTCTGCCGTGCTAGCAGCCACGTACCGTGCCCTCTGTGAGGCGTGCACGAAGACTGACGCGGGAGCGATCATCGCTGGCTGTCCTATGTTGCTTCAGCTTTGGGCAGCCGAGAGGTTTGCCATAGGGCGACTAGTGGTGGACAGCGCACCCTACGGGGTTGGTCGCAGCGCGCAGTGGCCAGAGGACGGTCCCACGATGGGGACTTACTGGTGTCGACGTGGGGTTAGTGCAACTTCGCTGCGTTATAAGTTTATCAGTCCTCTTCTTTTTTTTTTCCTTCACATAACATGTCTAATTCCGATCATGTTTATTGCAGCGTCGTTACGCTCACGTCCAGGTGAGACGTGGTTACCCGGACTTCGTGTTCGAGTTTGACCGTCTCCAGCCGAGCGACGTCATCTGGGAGCCGTACACAGAAGAGGCCGTCGCTGCGAGAGCACCGCTAGGACTTTCGTCCTTGTGCACACGCGACCAGGCTTACTGGCTCACCATCCTGCCGATGGTGTTCGACATTTTCGTTGAGCCTCACTGCCCGCAGCGTGTGATGAGACAGTTCGGACTTAGGCAGGTGTTTCCGGGCAACGTGCAGCCGACCGTCCCCCCTGCCGACCACTCGTGAGTTCGGATTGTTCATTTCTAAATTTTTATGATAATTACATCATCGAGCCATACAATTTACCTCTCTTCACAGGTTGACTCGACGGGGACAGCTAGCAGGCGCACTTTGGGCTCCACGTGTACAGCAGTACGTTGACGACTGGGTGTTAGCTACAGAGGAGGTGATCAACGAGCTCTTCCCACACACGGAGGAGAACTACCGTGACTACCTTCGCTGGTACCTTCCTCGCACTCGTGCGCGTGTGACCTTCACTCCAGACGCCCCAGAGCCGCACGTTGCCGCTGTCACGGACGCGTATCCCACGCACCGTGACCGAGACTACTTCGTGGCGGTACGTCCAATTTGTATTACTTCCAACAATTATGTCATTTATCTTGCATAATATAGGACAACTACTGAATTTTTTATTTCCATCTTGCATAGGCTGATGCGGCACGGGATATCAGTGCCGATATCACCGCAGTCCAGGTGAGGTTGAGCAGAGGTTTGCACTTGACTGACGTTGAGCAGAGGTCGACCTTCGACCGGATGCAGGAGAAGATGCGTGCGGTCATGCGCGTCTTCTCCTGTCGCAGCGCCGTGGACGTCGTACCTCCAGCTGGTCCGGTACACCCACGGCCTCGCGGTCCTACCGTCGGAGCAGGACCTCGTTTGTCTTCGAGCGCCCCTAGCTTCGGAGCAGTGCGACCTACAGCACCGGTTTCGCACGGTACAGTTCAGCCCAGATATTAGTTCATTTTTGTTTCAGCTTTTGCACGAATGTGTCACCATTTTTTAACTGCACGTTTCCTCATCGCAGGACCTCGTATGCCTTCGAGCGCGTTCGCAGGCACGACCGGCGCTTCCGCGAGCTCCGCAGGGGCGTTCGCCACCTCTTCGGGCGCGTTCGCCAGCTCTTCCTCTCACGGAGCGTCGATCCCTCACCCACACGGTACTTTACTTTTTATTAATACTGTTAAATACCTGTACGAAACTGATGGTCCTTGTCCAGCAGGATTTGCAGCCGGGATCTTCGGTACTGGGGCCTCTTCGTCTCACGCCGGTAGGACTGGTCCTACTAGCCAGTTCTACGACGACGACTTGCACGGTGCAGACCACCAGGACGTACTAGGCTCCTCTCAGCTTGGAGGAGCTCCAGAGGCGCACACTCAGGAGCAGCCAGAGGTCACACCTGTACAGGCAGGACGGGTTGGCCGTGCCGTACCCCCGGACCGACTCACGTACTCCCAGGGGCACATTAGGGCGCAGGGTAGGAGGGACAGGGGTAAGAGGCCTCGTCAGTAGTGTTCTACCTCTTCAGTCCTTATGTGACCGTTTCTTTTGGCTTACAAACTTGTAAAGCAGTACTACTTTTGCTATTACTACTGCAGTACTACTTGTGTTTGTCTCGTCTACGTAGTTCTTTTCATTCGTATGGTGCTTGAACAACTTATGCTCACAACAACACACTTTCGGCGCTTCACGGTAGTGCCATATCCAGTAGCGCGCACAGTCCACAACAGCACACATGAAAAGCGGCAGCTCGAGTTATCACTATCAACTTTCGGCGCTGCCTGTTGACATAAAGTGAATCACGCCCACGCGTGATCGTCTTGTCACATCTAATGAATAATGTATCTCATTGAGTTCACATATATTGCAGTGAAAACGACGCTATATAATTGACAATCTGAAGGCAACCTCTTCATATCTTCTTTCCCACTACCACACCACACACGAAAATGGAAGCCTATTAATTGGTAATACGTAATCTAGAATTGAGATTATGTACAACATTCTTCACTACAATTTTACATTTTGGCAGCAAACCAAATATGATCAAATGCAATTTTACCATACCAAATATTTGGTAGTGCCAAAACTTGCTTATATTTTGGCATTAACAAAATATTTGTACGGTAACATTCCAAATATGCCCTAAAAAATAATAAAATTGTATTTTACCAGTCTTGGAGATTTTAGTCTTGTATAGTTTTCAATATAAAAAGATTTGATAACTATTGATATTTATATAAAAAAAATATAGAGCACAGTACAAAATCGCCCTCCCCCAGGGCGGCAAGGGGGCCGCCTGCAAAATTCCATGCCCCCTCGCCGCCCATTTGCAGGCGGCCCCCCGCACAGTGCAAAATCGCCCTAGCGGAGGGCGGCAAGGGGGCCGCCTGCAAAATTCCATGCCCCCCCTCGCCGCCCATTTGCAGGCGGCCCCCCGCACAGTAGAAAATCGCCCTCGCGGAGGGCGGCAAGGGGGCCGCCTGCAAATTTCGTTGACGGCCGTCGCCCGAGAGCGAACGGCCGTCTGCCACGTCATTTTCGCCGCCCTCTGGGAGGGCGATTTTTAAAAATCGCCCTCTGGGAGGGCGGTAGGCGACTATTTCCGTTAATTTTCAAAATGAAAAATTATTTTTGTAAAACTTTTAATAAAAAAAATTATAAATAAAAAAAATTCGTGTTTGGATGATGGTCAAGTGAGATGGAATATGATCACCCATATACTAGTAAAAATGTTGGTACGTTGCACTAGATGAAGTATAAAAAAAAGTAGTAGTGAATGTGTGGAAGCGTAAGATTACCAGGTTAAGTGAAGTCCTTATAGGCAAATCAAATATTTCCAGTGCCAGAAAGACACTCACATGGGTGTCCTTTTTCTTAAAAAAAGAGGAAAGACACTCACATAACATAATTATTTGTTGCTCTAGATCCACTGACATGGATGATTATAAAAAAACTATTAATACCACCTTAAAATAAAATTATGTATTACAAACTAAAATTTGAAACCATAATAAACATTTACTTTTGTCATGTATTATTATTAGATTCAGTTGCAATGAATGGTTATTTTTTCCGGTACTTGATATTGATAAAAAAAATTCACTAGCAAAGAAGAGCCATAGTAGAAGAAATGTTTTTTGGCTAGCTATCATATCAAGTTCACTACACTCCAATCGTAAAATCATTTCACTCTACAAAAATCAGAAGGAAATCGTGCAATGAATGGAAAGAAAAAAAAACTGATGATGTGGTTAGGTTATGTAAACACGATTCAATTAAAAAAAAGGCATGTGATTGTTTTTATTATAACTTTAAAAATGTGTTATTTTTTCTTCGATCCTTGTTTGTGTAAGTCCAAACTCTATGCAGCATTAATAGTCCTCAACAAGCCTCCTATTTAAGCTGTGTTGCTCAAGCTGGAAAAGCGAGGTGGTATTGTTCGTGCTTGGTTGCTACAGTGTCATGCAGTATTGTGCTGGGCTGCTGCTCCTCTGCTCTGTGGGCTAGCTGCTAGGCTGTAGTTGCTTTTTGCTGGGCCGGCTTGCTGCTGCTTTGGTTGGGCTGCTAGCTAGCTTTCTCTCTTTTTCTCTCTGGAATAAGTTCATCTGAGGTCTCTTAACTTGTCAGCGAATCCGATTTTAGTCCCTCAACCGGAAAATCAGACACAACGGGTCCCTCAACTATCAAAACCGGTGCAGATGAGGTCCCTCGACGGTTTTGAGGGCGGTTTTAGCTGACGTGACACCTACGTGGCTAATTTGACTCGGTTTTTATCTGACGTGGCACTGACGTGGTGCTTACATGGCAATTTGAGCTGAAAAAATAATAAAACCCATGGGACCCACATGTCAGTTCCACACACAAAATAATAAAAAAAATGGTGGGACCCACGTGGCCCCATATGTCATCCTCACTCCCTCTCTATCCTCTCTCTCCCCTCTCCTCGGCGCCGACGCTTCCCATCCACGCATTACTCAACACGGTGGCCGCCGACGCCGACCCACCTCGCGTCGTCCTCGTCTTCGGCGGCGGGCCCATCCGCGTCGGCGCCGAGCTCCTCGACGCCGTCCCGTCGCTCCGCTGCATCATCACCATCAGCGCGGGGATCAACCACATCGACCTCCGCGAGTGCGTGTGTCGCGGCGTACAGGTCGTCAACGCCGGCGGGGTCTACTCCACCGCTGTCGGCCCTGTTCGACGTGCTCGTCGTGGCGTGCGTGCTGACGGCGGAGACACGGCACATCTGGACTGGGGGCGTGCTTGACGCGCTGGGGGAGCACCGCGTCGTCGCCCGCTTCTGCTATAGGGAGCAGCTGGATCTCCATCGGGTTGCAGCTGCAAATGCAAAGGAAAAGAGGTGAAATTTCTGATGACATGCATCAGCTTTGGTTGTGATTCCTTCTCCCTTCTCCTGTTCTTGGGTAGACATGGCCTTTGATGTTCTCTATGGTTTCATATGATTGTATTGCTGCTCTCTTACTTTGCTGCGAGATCGTCTTTTTGCAGGTTTCTTTTGAGGACTATCTCGTCATCACCAGTTCAACCTTTATGAATTTCAGAGATTGTATCTTTTTTTCTTTTGGTGGTAACATTCTTCCCCAATCTGCCTTCTGTTTCTTCAAAGATAAGGGCTGGTCGGGGATTTAGGAACTCATTCGGTTTTCATTTTTGCTCCGCGTGGTTTCAAGATTTTAGTTCATTCATGCGTTTATTAATCTACCTTTTTCCCCTATGTTGTTCATCAAATGATGATGCCTTTTCTTTTCTGGGGATGTCTTTCTTTTGTTGATTTCTTTTTCGACCACCACCGACCTCGCCGCGAGCTCCAACGTGCTCGTCGTGGCGTGCGCGCTGACGGCGGAGACACATCACATCATGGACTGGGGCGTGCTGGACACGCTGTGGGCGTGGTCGTGAACGTGGTGCGCGGCGCCAACATCGACGAGGCGGAGCTGGTGCGTGCGCTGGCGGAGGGAAGGGTCGCCGGCGCGGGGTTGGAAGTGTTCGAGGACGAGCCCAACGTGCCACCGGAGCTGAGGGCCATGGACAACGTGGTGCTCCGCCGGCTAGCCGCTCCGCCCCACCCGTCGCCTGCTCTGCCGGCTGCCACTCGCCCCGCTCCATCGGCCGGAGAGAGGAAAGGGATAGAGAGAGGATAGACAGAGGGAGGGAGGGAGGGTGAGGATGACAAGTGGGGCCCACGTGGGTCCCACCTTTTTTATTATTATTTTGTGCGTGAAACTGATATGTGGGTCCCACGGGTTTTATTATTTTTCTGAATGGATTGCCACGTAAGCGCCACGTCAGATGAAGACCGTGTCAAATTAGCCACGTAGGTGCCACGTCAGCAAAAACCACCCTCAAAACCGCTGAGAGACCTTATCTGCATCGGTTTTGATAGTTGAGGGACCCGTTATGTCTGGTTTTTTTGGTTGAGGGACGAAAATCGGATTCGTTGACAAGTTAAGAGACCTCAGATGAACTTATTCCTTTTTTCTCTCTCTCTTTTCTCTTTTATTTGCGGGGGGAATAAGTTCACCGGAGGTCCCTCAACTTAATAACGAGATTTTTTGAGGTCCCTCAACCACAAAACCAGAAATGTTCGCCTCTAAACTCATTCAAACCGTTCACCGGAGGTCCCTTAGCAGTATATGTGGATGGTTTCGCTGACGTGGCGTCCTAGTCAGCAGAAAAAACATTTAAAAAGTACATGGGGCCCACATGTCAGTTGCACATCTTCCTTTTCTTTTCTTTTCTTCTCCTCTCTCTTTTCTCTCTTCTCTTTCTCTTCTTCTTCAGAGTGAGTGAGGCCGGTGGAGCGGCGATGCGTGGGTGGCAGGTTCGCGTGGCAGCCGAGCGGTGGCAGGCGAGCACGGAGGAAGGAAGCGGAGGAGTAGGAGGAGGAATGGCACGGGGAGGAGGAATGGGCGGCGGCCGAGCGCGGCGGCGGGTTCGCGCGGCAGCCGAGCGCGGCTTGTGGGCAGAACGGAGGCAGGTGGCGCAGCGGCAGGCAGAGTGGCGTTGCACGGGCGGCGGGTCCGTGTGGCGGTGGGAGGCGGCAGGCGAGCGCGGCCGGCGGGTGAGCACGAAGGAAGGAAGCGGAGGAGGAATGGGCGGCGGCCAAGCGCGGTGGCGGGTCCGCGCGGCAGCCGAGCGTGGCCTGTGGGCAGAACGGTGGCGGGCGGCGCGGCGGCAGGCGGAGAGGCGTTGGACGGCGGCGGGCGAGCGGAAGGCAAGCGCGGCGGGCTGCGGGCAGAGCGGACGGCGGGCGAGCATAGAGGTGGCCGAAGGAGGAGCGTGGCGGTGGTGGGCGAGCTCCGCCGGCCTACTTCGCCAGCCGTGTCGTCGTTGGCGGCGAGAGCGGCGCGCCTCGCTCCAGGCCTCGGCTCCCTGGAAGTGATGGTGATGGTGGTGGTGGGGGAGAGGGGGAGAGGAGGCCGGGCGGAGTGGGGGAGATGAGGCCGGCGGGAGAGGGGGAAATAGGCGACGCCATGCCGCCGCTCGCCCGCCATGCCTTCCGCGTCCCCCGCCGCTCTGCTCTGCCCGCGCTCGGAGATGCCGCCGCTCTGCCTGCTCCGGCCGCGTGCCGCCCACGCCCGGAGCCGCCGCTTGCCCTCCGCCGCGCTCGGAGGCGGCGTGGCCACGGTGGACGAAGCTGGTGGTGGTCGCCAAGGAGGAGCCCTGCGGCGTCGTCGTCTTTGGCGGCGGCGCGTGTACGGCAAGGAGCGGGAGCGATGGCAGCGGCGGCGGCACGCACGGAGCCTGACCGACGAGTCGACGACGACCTGGAGGAGCTGAAGGGTGCGTGGATCTCGGGTTCGGGTTCAGCTACGACGTAATCCCCGAGCTCTGCGGCATTGCCCCCGTGCTCGAGCTCTGCTACTCCATGACCCAGCGCTATCGAAGTGGAGCACCAGCCGCGGCACGTCCACGGCCTCCGGCGTGGCCGCCACTCGCTAGGGGCAGCCGAACGCGGCCGCCGCCGCAGCCGTGCTCGCTCGGAGACACTGCCGCTCCGCTTGCTCTAGCCGCGCGCTGACGCCGCCCCTCCGCCTACTCCGGCCGCGGGCTCGCCCATCGCCACCCGCCGCCAGCAAAGAGAGAGGAGAGGAAAGAGAAGAGGAGGAGAGAAAAGAGAAGGAAAAAAACTGCAGCTGACATGTGGGCCTTTTTTAATTTTTTTTTGCTGACTAGGATGCCACATCAGCGAAACCACCTACATATACTGCCAAGGGACCTCCGGTGAACGGTTTGAATGAGTTTAGGGGCTAAGATTTCTAGTTTTGTAGATGAGGGACCTCAAAAAATCTCGTTGTTAGGCGTTAGCGTCATGCGTCCGGATTTTGTATTGCACGGATCATCGAGGAAATAGTAATCGAAGCCAGATACCAATGGACGAAAAATTTTATGGAAGATTTACCTATTTTTCTATTAGGTATAGATATGGTGGTCTAGTTTTTTGTTTGGTGGAATTTGCTTATCTAGATTTATGTTTAGTTAGGAGTAGTAGGGTGGATAAGCTCTTATGATCACCTCAAACTTGGAGATGGTAAGAATACCGGCCCGCACCACCACATATATCTCTATTTATCTCCCAAACTCAATACGTGCAAACGAGTAATTTTCCTCTCGTGTTAAAAAAATATAAGCAAATTTCACGAATTCATTAGAAAAAAAATGGTTCTTGCGTTCTTGCTGTCAAACTCCTATCAATCAATTTTACACACACATGAATTGGCATGGCAGAGAGAAATGAGATTCCAATGGCTCGTGTTCTTGCGGAAATGCTTACCATCGGCCGTCCGGCCAGAAATAAAAAATCGAGCGTCTCAATCTAAAAGAACAACCGTGTAGGTGCATGGTGAGACAGTTAGTTAGGTGTATGACGAGCCAACGGAGCATGCATGCAAACATGTTTCAAAATTTAAATGATTTTTTCTCTTAAACTATTTATCTGAATTTCAAACTAATTATATCATTGGATTCGTTACAATTAAATCTTTATAACAAGATATCACATGACTACATTCCGATGATTTTTTATTTTACTTTCTAAATGTTACACACATTGTTACTGAAATGTTTCAACAAGCATTTATTGATGTTTCATTAATGCATTAGCAATGTTTCAGCAAATACATTTTTTATGTTTCAACAATAATTATAATTCGATGTTTCAATCTAAATATAAAAAATGTTTCACTAGTCGGGACTTAATGTTTCATGTAATAATGATTATTGTTGCAGTCAATACTTTTTATTTGTTGTACCTCTTTGGAACAATTTGTGAAGTGCGTTGAAACATCTCCACAAGTGATGAAAGAATTATTTTTAAATAGTTCAACATAAGTTTGTTTTTTTCTAGAACGCATATATATTTTTATCAAAATATATTCATGTGAGATCTTGTTATAAATTATAGATTGGATATATATTTTAGAATAGAATTTTGTTTAAAGTTTGATTAAGAGAGAGAGAGTAATGGTTCCTCAGGCCACCTTGGCAACCAGCTATACTCCTGCATGCATGCACGCGACAACCTCACTCCTCCAACGCGTTCCTGCATACAGACGAGAAACAGCATTTGATATTTGAAAAAAATATTGAACGTATGATTTGTAGCGTCTATTTAAAAATATTTCAACATAATTAAGTATTTGTGCAAAAATCTAATGGTATAATTGAAACTTAGATCAGATATATAATTTTGGAGAAAAATATTTAAAATTTGAGGAAAAAATTAGGCACATGTAATAGGAGGGAGAGGGAGAGGGAGAGGGAGAGGGAGTATGCAAGCAGCAACGCAAGCAACACATGCAGGACAGGCAAGCAACGCGGCACGGGAGCAACGCGGGCGCACGACAGTGCGGGGGAGAGCGTTGACCAACAAGTGAAATATTAAGTTATATATGGTGAAACAAAAAAAACAGCAATTGAAACATTTAAATATTTTATGAAACATGGTGAAGATACACATTGTAACATGTCGCTGTCACATGTGAAACAATAAGTATTAACAGATTGAAACATATGTTTTTCTTTTATCAAAATATAATCATGCGATATCTTGTTGTAAAGATTTAATTACAACGAATACAACGGTGTGATCGGATCATAGATTTGTCGACGGGTGATACCCGTAGACCGGATATAGAGGGTATTGGGGTACGTTGATACAAGGATCTACGTAGTACGACATCAAGCAAACAAAAGACAAGAATTATACTGGTTCAGACCCCTTGATAGGTAATAGCCCTAGTCCAGTTGATGTGGAATTATATGGTAGAAAACACAGGTTACAAAGAGAACAAGGGAACTTGTCGGATCCGGCGAGATTGTAGTCGAGTTGATTCGACTAGCTCTCGATGACTTGGCTCCTCGTAAGCTCCGGCTTCGTAGGCTGTGGAGGTTGTGTTGGCTCTGAGATTCGATGTCTAAACCCTCCCCGGGGGGCCCCTTTTATATCGCAGATGTGGAGATTTCCTCATAGAACTCGGAGGTATCAGACCCTATACGATACGCCAACGACCTGGTTCTGCCCGAGTAGGATTCTTCCCATCTGTAGATTCTGTGAAAGGTTTCCTTAGAATATACAGGAAATATCTACATGCGCGTGGGTATGCCATATCGATATGTAACGTATATCGAAGGGTAAAGGGTATGCCTAACC